CCTCCTCCTCCTCCTCCTCCTCCTTCTCCTCCTCCTTCGCACTCCTCCTTCCCACTCCTCCCCCCCGTCCTCTCTCTTCCTCTCTCCCCCCCCCACACGAGCGAGCACGCCCCTCGAGGGCCGCGGTGTATCGATCGAGACCCTGTGCCGAGTCTCGCCGCCGCCACAGCCCTCCTCGAGGAGGAGGAGGAGGAGGAGGAGGAGGAGGAGGAGGAGGAGGAAGAGGAGTCCGAGGACGATGGCGAAGAAGCAACCGAGTAATAATAATAATAATAATACTGGTATTCATGCTTCTAGCAGTTCTGATACTACGAGTAGTAGCAATAACGATAATACGAATACCACTACGAATTAATACGAAGTGTACTCACATGTTCAATCGTATAAGTAAAATTAATTCTACTAATACAAATAGCATTGCGAATGGTATTACGAATCACACGAATAATACGTATACGAACAGCAATAGCAATACGAACGCGATCGGACAAATAAGAAACACACTCCGACTACTACTAGTAGTGTGAATCTTGATCACAATATTTATAATGATACGAGTTGTTTCTACACACTTGAATATGGAGAAGGGGAGTAGGCGGATGGGGAGGCGGAGGACGTGGAATAGGAGGAGGTGGAGTAGGAGGAGGATGTGTAGGCAGAAGAGGAGTAGTAGGAGGAGGAGGAGGAGGAACAGGAGGAGGAGTAGGAGGAGGAGGAGAAGAAGGAGGAGGAGGAGGAGAAGGAGGAGGAGGAGGAGGAGGTGCCGCTTCTCGACGGGCTGTTCGCTCCAGCAGACCACAGACAGCGACCACAGACGGCTCGTGAGGCAGCGGCAGTGGCAGCAGCAACAGTTCTCGAGACCGAAGACCTTCTGGTTCAAGCCAAGAACGAGCTCGAGGAAGCCAGGCGCGCCGCCACCCACAAGTTGGGCGCCACAGGACCTCCTGGAACGCAAGGAGTAGCTTCTGGAGTCTGGGCAGACATCGACGAGCTTGCCACCCTCCTCGGTAAGGTACTTGACGCAGCAGAAGGGAAGCTGCCCGAGGAGGCCAAGCTGGCCCAAGAGGCGCTCACCCAGCTCTCGGGGCTCAAGCCGAAGGTGGAGCCCCCTGGCGGTGGCGGTGGCGCTGCTGCTGCTGGCGCTGGGGCAGCAGGAGCCCATGCGTCGGCAGCAGGAGGTGGATCGAAACCAGCAGACAGCGACGCCCCCATGGACGAAGCAGGGGAGCCGGGCTCTGCTGAGTCGGCCACGCGCGTCCGAGAGCTCATGGAAAAATGGACCTCCGATGACACTGAACAGTCCCGTCAAGAAGCCATGGTCGCGTTGTTCCAGGAGCTGGCGACCAAGCGCCGAACGACGCAGGGGTAACATCGACGGCTTCGAGTACCGCGGCCAGCCTCACTCACACAGGGGGCAGAGGGCACATCTGGCTGCTACACTCACTCCGCCAGGAGAAGGGAGCACGTTCGAGCACCACGACCAGGCTCACTCCCTTCCGAGGGGGCAGGCGACACATCTGGTTGCTACACTCACTCCGTCAGGAACAGAGAGCACGTTCGAGTACCTCGGCCAGGCTCGCTCCCTTTCGTGGGGCAGAGGGCACATCTGGATGCTGCGCTCACTCCTTTGGGAGCAGAGAGCACGTTCGAATGCCGCAGACCATCGACCAGAGCGACAGCGAGATAAGAACACGCAGAGCCTAGGAACGAAAAAGAACTCACTTTTTATTTCGCCAATGTCACGTCCTGGAACGACAAGAGCATGCCATACTTGCGCCACCAGAACACAGTCCTGGCCAAAACCTCAGTTGTCCGCAGAGCAGAGCGCCATTTGATGAAGGCGCGGCTCAATGCGGTCAAAGAGAAAATCTCGCGATGTGGTTGGGCAACAAAGTCAGTGGGGGCAGTTCCGTCTTCGGGACGAGGCAGCCGAGGACATGGTGGGGCATGGCTTCAAGTGCGAACCCCCTTGACAAGAAGACGGCTGTAGACCGGTGGACTGCCATGACCCTCAGGATGTATGATATCGGTGACGTCATCTTCGTGTCACGTACCTGACAACTGGTGTAGGTTTGGCTGGCCCCAAGGAGGGAGTACTCTCAGCAGTTGCAGCTCATCTCAAAGTGCGCGACTTACCATATATAGTGATGGCAGATTGGAACAGGGAGACGCACGAGGTGGACCATATGCAGATCGCCACGTGCCTCGACGGCAGCTGGATGGCGCCGCGGGAAGCTCGCCCAGGAGGTAACCGTCTGATCGACTACTGCCTCGTCGCGAGCAGCATTCAGCACATGGTGAAGCTAGAGTGGAACTTGCAGTGACCTTGGGCGTCGCCGCGCGCGGGCATAAAGAGCGCGGCCAAGTGCGCAGGTCAGAAGATCATGAAGCGCATCATGGACCAGCCGATGGAATGCCAACTCGCAGCTGGACCAGATAGGCCCCGGCAGCATCGCATAGCGGCGGCCCAGCACATAATCGAGAAGGACATGCAGCAGGACACGCTGCAGCAGCGCAAGGTCGGGGGTGTGGATCACGTCTTTATGGAGTTCGCGATGGCGGCCCCCAGCTTGCTCCTTGGTAGACAGGGCGCCCATGCCCCCGATCTGCAGTTTTTGCGAGGGGAATACCCAGCCACATGATTAGCCCCAGTCCAGCAGGCAAAGCCGCATGGGTGGCTAGCGGAAACAACCCTTTAAGCACAGTGGAGCAGCTTAGGAGCTAGACCTCGCCATTTAATAGGATTGAAGATAAAGGGGCGGGATGGCGGGGCTAGCCTGGCGGCGGCGGAGGCTACTCAAGCGAAGGGGGGCCTGGGGGGCCAACCTCAAACACTAAGGAGTGGCGCTGACAAAACCTTCCTGGGGACCCTGGGCGATTCGGGGGCGCCCCATGGGGGGCCTCGGCGAGGAGCAGCTGCGTCGGAAGGCCCAGTCGGCCGACGGGCTCATTGCAGCGAGTGAAGGCCACTATATCCGAGCCAGCTCCAAAAGTTCCATGGAGTGGGTTCAAGCTTCCCACTAGCGAGGGGCAGGCGCTGTCCATGGGCGCGCCAAGAGCGCGGGGGCCTCAGAGAAGACCACTTCTGTCGAGCATGATTCCTCAGGGGCCGCCATTGTAGAGCCCATAGCAGCAGTCAAGAAGAAAGCAGGTTTCTGGATGGGTTTCTGCGGACGAGGCGTGGGGCGCCCTCAGGGCCAGGGGCGGCGGCAGGATTTCAAGCGAGCCGCCGAAGCCCACGACCTCACCCTAGACCCCATAACAGTTGAAGAAGCGCAAGCAAGTTTGAAATGTTTCAAACCAGTCATCGGAGGTTGGGGGGGTGAGATCGAAGTGGAACGGAGAGCCCCCCTACCGGGAAATCGATTTCGGTTTCGTGTTCGTGCGTGCCGTGCGCGCGGGAGAGGCGAAGCTGCGTGGGCGGGCGAGAAGAAAGTCTCCTGTGGCTGAGGCGCGGCCGGACCAAATGATTCTCCACCGGGGCGCGGGGCCGCGCGGTGCCCCGCCGGTGTCCCGGTGGTGTCCTCTGTGGCTGAGGCGCGGCCGCACCAAATTATTCTCCACCGGGGCGCGGGGCCGCGCGGTGCCCCGTTGGTGTCCCGGTGGTGTCCCGTCGGTGTCCCGTCGGTGTCGCGATGATGATGTTGATGATGATTATGATGATGATGATGGTGATGATGATGATGGTGATGATGATGATGTTGATGATGGCGATGATGATGATGATGATGATGATGACGACGTCGATTGTGAGATCGATTGTGTTCGGAGGTTGGGGGGTGAGATCGAAGTGGAACGGAGAGCCCCCCTATCTGGAAATCGATGTCGGTTTCGTGTTCGTGCGTGCCGTGCGTGCGGGCGAGACCCCGTGCACCCACCAGCGCAGGCTAGGCTTTGCCAGCCGCTCTCTCCGAGCGCGCCCCGTTCCTTCGGGAGGCCGCGCGGGCTCGCCGCCGCGGCTGGAAGCGAATCGAAAACTGGGGCGTCTGGGCCCGTGGAGTTCGGCCGTCTACATAAAAAGGGATACGCCGACAGGACGCCGGCGCGGGCCCCTGGGAGGGGTTCCGGTTCCGTTTTGAGGCTGGCGCCGAGGTTCGGTCGAGGTTTCCTGGCCCTCGGAGGCCCTGCTCGCCGCCGCGGCTGGAAGCGAATCGAAAAACTGGTGCGTCTCGGCCCCTGGAGGTGGGCCGTCTACATAAAAAGGGATACGCCGACAGGACGCCGGCGCGGGCCCCTGGGAGAGGTCTCGGTCCCGTTTTGAGGTTGGCGCCGAGGTTCGGTCGAGGTTTCCTGGCCCTCGGAGGACCTGCTCGCCGCCGCGGCTGGAAGCGAGTCGAAAAATTGGTGCGTCTCGAGTTGGTGCGTCTGGACCCCTGGAGTCGATCTGTGTACATACAAAGGGATACGCCGACAGGACGCCAGCGCGGGCCCCTGGGAGAGGCCTCGGGTCCGTTTTGAGATTGGCGCCGAGGTTAGGTCGAGGTTTCCTGGCCCTCGGAGGCCCTGCTCGCCGCCGCGGCTGGAAGCAAATCGGAAAACTGGGGCGTCTGGGCCCGTGGAGTTCGGACGTCTACATAAAAAGGGATACGCCGACAGGACGCCGGCGCGGGCCCCTGGGAGGGGTTCCGGTTCCGTTTTGAGGTTGGCGCCGAGGTTCGGTCGAGGTTTCCTGGCCCTCGGAGGCCCTGCTCGCCGCCGCGGCTGGAAGCGAATCGAAAAACTGCTGCGTCTCGGCCCCTGGAGTTGGGCCATCGACATAAAAAGGGGTGCGCCGACAGGATGCCGGCGCGGGCCCCTGGAGTCGTCGTTCGCCGTCGCTGTTGGAGTCGGCGTCGGTGCGTCCCTGCAGGTTCCCTTGGGAACTCCTGAATCGTTCCCCGTGCCCTGTTGTATCATCATGCCGTGCTGTATGCTGTGCCGGCGTTGACGCCGTCAGACCGCAGCCCATCGCGGTTCTGTGTTCGGAGAGTTCCCGCGGACCTTTGGCCGGTCCCGCGGCCATGGCCGCCGCCGCCCGCATGCTCAGACATGCGTTGCCTGTGTCCCAGGGCCAGGCTTTGCCAGCCCCAGGGACAGAGGCACCCTACGCGGGCTCGCGCAGACTCGCGCAACGATACGAGTACAAGGGCACTTCCTTTTCGGGCATGGTGGAACTCCATCCTCAGCGCCTGCTGACTCGGGAGGAGTTCAAGACGAACTTGCTGGCAGCACCAGGCGTGCTGAAGGTCTCTGTGCTTCCAAAGATGTTTGTGGCCACTCGGCGCTTGGGTTTGCCATTTGGGATTTCGGGGGTCTTCGGGGGCCTCCTTGGGAGGAGCCATCTTGAGCCATCTCCGGTTATCTTGAACCATAGTGGAGGCCATACGGGGTTCCCCGGGAATGCTTACGAGGGTGACCCTCAGGTCGTGGACAAGAGCTCCAAGACCTCGCAGGGCAACCGAGGCGACCACGTCTTCGAGCAGAACCTGGAAGTCCACCTGCACCGCGAGCCCCATGTAGCTCTGGAGTTCGAGATCACGCGGAACAACCACATGAAGCACATGGAGGGGCGCCCTTACACTGTGACAGCGATGTTCAAGGACCCCCCCAAACGGCATTGCGCGGCGGCGTGGCGCGTGCCCTTGCACGCCGTCAAGGGCCGGGAGCTCCTTCCACAGCATGCCCGCGACTACTGCAAGAGCTGCCTGACGAGACACGGTACCTGGGAAGACGACGCGCTCCCAGAGGGCCTGGAGGGGATCCCGTTTGAGCCAGGCTTTGCCAGTCCTGCGGGGTCTTCCAGCTCTCCGACGCAGGCGCCAGGCCTTCCAACAGCGCCAGGCCTTGCCAGCTCTCCGACGCAGGCACCGAGTCGCAAGCCAACGTTCCCGTATCCTTTCCAGGACGCTCCCGCGATGCCCGGGGGCCAGGCGACCGTCTCTGCGGCGCGAGTGGAACCCTGCCCCACCGAGTCGGCCTCAATGAGTCAGGGTGGCCGCGGGGTCCCGCTTGAGCCAGGCTTTGCCAGTTCTGCGGGGGTGGAAGCTTCAATAAATCAGGGCGGCGCGACCGGGCCTCCTGCCAAGACGAGTAAAGCGGCGCCCGGGGGTGCCGCGATCGCCCCTGCGGCGCAGGTGAGCGGAGGGGCGCGCCGGGCCTCCTGCCCGGAGGGCCTCAACCATTGCGAGGCTGGGGTCACGGAGCTGAGAGCGTTCGAGCGGGACGGGAACATTGCATCGGTGGTCAAGGCCCAGGACCTTCTGCTCAAGGGGATCGAGCGCATCTCGGACGTCTTGCCTGAGGGGCGCGATTTGGACGGCACCGAGTACGAGACGCTAGGTGCGGAGTTCAACCGCTTCGCGGAGATCGCGGAGGATGCGCGCGTGCGCATGCGGACCGAATTGGAGGCGGCAAGGACGCCAGCGGGCGGGGAGCAAGCGGTGGCAGGCGAAACCCAGGGGTCGGGGCCAGGCCTTGCCAGCCCGGCGACCCAGGGGCAGAAGAACGAGGACAAGGCGGATGCGGAGAAGACGCCGCCAGGGTTCGACCCCGAAGCCGATTGGACAGAGAATGCGGCGGACGTGCACCAGTTCGACATCACGGCTGACCTGTGCGAGGAGTTGGCCGAGATGCCCGATGGGGGCCCGGCCGCCGCCCGTGAGTCCAGGGAGGTCCGCGCTGCACTCGGCGCCAAAGTTCTTCCCATCCCGGATTTTTTGAAGCTTGTGCAGGGTCAGCCGATGGCCAGCAACGCCGCCCTGGACGATGTTCGTGCTATGAAGAGTCGCGGTGTGGAGCACGTGCGGCACCGCGTCATCGATGCGCCCGACGATCCCGAGGTGCAGGACAACATCGACAGGATGCGCCGCGAGGCCTGGGAAAAGCACGAGGAGCGTCGGAGGACATGCGCCCGTGGCCTGGACACGCGGGACATGTTCTTGGGCCGCGAACTGGTGTACGTCAAGCTGGTCAGTGCTGGCGCGGTGCCCATGACTCCGAACGAGTTTTTGAACGCGGCGTCTAAGAGGTCTCTCTGCGTCAAGGATCTGTCGCAGCCACCTCCAAACACGCAGGCGCGGGAGGGCCGCTTGCGCATGCTCGCGCTGCGGGAGCATTACCAGACGTTGTTCAAGGAGCTCCCGGATAAGGCAGCCCAGAAGTTTTCGCCGAACCAGCTGGGGGACGACGACGGACCATCGAAAGCGCTGGTGGGTTTGGTCAATCACCACTCTGGCGAGGTGGTGGAGCTGGACGGGTGCAGAACGCAGTGGTGCCTTCGCAAGGTCGCACCAGGCATTGCCAGTGCCGCGCAATTCGAGAATCCACAATTCTGGTGCGTGCAAGGTGGTTAAACCGTGGGACGACGCCCGGAGGGGCGGTGCGAGTACGGCCGGTGCGGGTCCGAGCTCTTCGCCAAAGCCGTCGACGCACAGGCCCAGCGCGAAGCCGCCGCCGTGAACGAGGGCGAGGACATCAACCCACAGGTCTACGTGCCCGCCTGGGCCCACCAGTGGAGCAGGGTATGCGTTCCGTGCGAGGCGGTCGAGACGCGCGAGTGGTGTCGGCAGAGCCCCGTCACGACGCTGGGGGAGCTCTTCTGGGACTTGGGCCGGACGCACACGGCCAAGGCCATCTACGCCTTCTACAGGACGCTCCGGCCGGTCGCGTTGAAGAGGGACAAGAACAGTTCCACCAAGGCGAGCAGCGCGCCAGGCTTTGCCAGCGCATCTCGGCCAGCCGGGTCGGCAGCTGCTTTCGGTTTCACAGGGTCCGACCTCCAGGCGCCCCGCATCCGCGCAGATTACTCGTGCACGGCGACCAACCGCGAGGTGCTCGTGGAGGACTACATAGAGGCGGTGGGCTTGTCCACAGCGTACGTCAGCTCCAAGACCAAGCAAGAGTTGCTGGACGAGGCTGTGAAGTGCGTGGCGTTGGTGTTGCTTCGGGACATGCGCCCGCCGTGGCTGGATCACGTGTTCCCCCAGGCCTTGCCAGGGGATGGCTTGTTGTCCAAGTTCACCAGACCGTCTTTCCTCTACTGGGACGCCAGCTTCCTCGACATGCTTTTCGGCACCGCTCTGGGAAGCGATCTCAACGACCAAGCGGTCAGCGTCGACAACCAGCTGGCGGGTGTCATCGCGCGCCCCCTGTATAAGTGCACGCAGATCGTCGACGCCAGCACCGGAGCAGCGTGCATGAACGTCGCGTCGATGTCAAGGCTTTTGCGGGACACCGCGGGTCGGGGCCACTACACGTGCAAGGAGTGTGCTGAGAGGAAACAGGGCGCCGATGAGACGCCGGGCTTTCCCGGTGTTGCCCTTCGCGCCCTGTACTTGTACCCCGCGGTGTTCGGGCCGGATGGCGAGCCCACGCCGCTTCGCGCGATGGCGCCCCATCGCGTGTTCGCGCACGCGCTTCCGGAGAATTGGGGGCGGGGCGTCGAGCGAGTCCAGCGCCACGTGGTGACCCAGGCGAACCCCGCGATATCCACGGCCACGCCGACATGGTACACTTACAACGCGGAGGAGAGCGAGGCAATTTGGATCGCATCCAGTGCGTACACGGCCACGCCGCCGAGCAAGACGTGAATGGAAGGGGGGCACTGGTTGCGCCAGGCTTTGCCAGCGCTTGCAGGCTCCTGCATCATGAAGGATATAGATATAGTTTTTGATTTCGCGTAGGCTGCGCCAGGCTTTGCCAGCGCTTGCCAGGCTGTGCGTAGGCTGCGCGTGGGCTTCGCCAGCGACCCCTGGAGTTGGTCTGTCTACATAAAATAGAATACGCCGACAGGGCGCCGGCGCGGGACTCCGGGAGTGGCCCCGGTTCCGTTTTGAGGTTGGCGCCGGGGTTAGGCGGAGGTTTCCTGGACCTCGGAGGCCCTACTCGCCGCCGCGGCTGGAAGCGAATCGAAAAACTGGTGCGTCTGGGCCCGTGGAGTTGGGCCGTCTACATAAAAAAGATACGCCGAGTGGACGCCGGCGCGGGCTCCTGGGAGAGGCCCCGGTCCCGTTTTGAGGTTGGCGCCGAGGTTAGGTCGAGGTTTCCTGGCCCTCGGAGGCCCTGCTCGCCGCCGCGGCTGGAAGCGAATCGAAACACTGGTGCGTCTCGGCCCCTGGAGGTGGACCGTCTACATAAAAAGGGATACGCCGACAGGACGCCAGCGCGGGCCCCTGGGAGAGGTCTCGGTCCCGTTTTGAGGTTGGCGCCGAGGTTCGGTCGAGGTTTCCTGGCCCTCGGAGGACCTGCTCGCCGCCGCGGCTGGAAGCGAGTCGAAAAAATGGTGCGTCTGAATTGGTGCGTCTGGACCCCTGGAGTCGATCTGTGTACATACAAAGGGATGCGCCGACAGGACGCCGGCGCGGGCCCCTGGGAGAGGCCTCGGGTCCGTTTTGAGATTGGCGCGGAGGTTAGGTCGAGGTTTCCTGGCCCTCGGAGGCCCTGCTCGCAGCCGCGGCTGGAAGCGAATCGAAAAACTGGTGCGTCTGGGCCTCTGGAGGTGGGCCGTCTACATAAAAAGGAATACGCCGACACGACGCTGGCGCGGGACCCTGGGAGGGGCCCCCGTCCCGTTTTGAGGTCGGCTCCGAGGTTAGGCGATGGTTTTCTGGCCCTCGGAGGCCCTGCTCGCCGCCGCGGCTGGAAGCGAATCGAAAACTGATGCGTCTGGGCCTCTGGAGGTGGGCCGTCTACATAAAAAGGGATACGCCGACAGGACGCCGGCGCGGGCCCCTGGGAGGGGCCCCGGCCCCGTTTTGAGGTCGGCGCCGAGGTTAGGTCGAGGTTTCCTGGCCCTCGGAGGCCCTGCTCGCCGCCGCGGCTGGAAGCGAATCGAAAAACTGATGCGTCTCGGCCCCTGGAGGTGGACCGTCTACATAAAAAGGGATACGCCGACAGGACGCCGGCGCGGGCCCCTGGGAGAGGTCTCGGTCCCGTTTTGAGGTTGGCGCCGAGGTTCGGTCGAGGTTTCCTGGCCCTCGGAGGACCTGCTCGCCGCCGCGGCTGGAAGCGAGTCGAAAAAAATGGTGCGTCTGAATTGGTGCGTCTGGACCCCTGGAGTCGATCTGTGTACATACAAAGGGATACGCCGACAGGACGCCGGCGCGGGCCCCTGGGAGAGGCCTCGGGTCCGTTTTGAGATTGGCGCCGAGGTTAGGTCGAGGTTTCCTGGCCCTCGGAGGCCCTGCTCGCCGCCGCGGCTGGAAGCGAATCGAAAACTGATGCGTCTGGGCCTCTGGAGGTGGGCCGTCTACATAAAAAGGGATATGCCGACAGGACGCCGGCGCGGGCCCCTGGGAGGGGCCCCGGCCCCGTTTTGAGGTCGGCGCCGAGGTTAGGTCGAGGTTTCCTGGCCCTCGGAGGCCCTGCTCGCCGCCGCGGCTGGAAGCGAATCGAAAAACTGATGCGTCTGGGCCCCTGGAGTTGGTCCGGGACGCCGCCGCCGTCGCTGTCGCAGCAGTTCTCATCGATTGATTTGCAGCATTTGCAACCCGACAAAGGGAGGGAGAGGGGCCTCAGCAGGCTTCTGAGAAAAAAATCTCCACTGGCATCGTCAGGAGAAAGAACAATCACCACTGTTGCCGATTGCTCGGCCCCTTCCCCCCCCCAATCTCCTTATCACCCGCAGGGTGGTCGTGTAGGTAGGCATGGGAGTTGATATATCCAACCCAAGATGGTGGCTACAACTCCCGCAAGAAGCGTTCGTCCACCTTACTTTCCTGCTTGACTTGGTTGAGCAAACCCTTCGGTGGCCAGACAAGATGTTAGTCAACATAGCGCAGCTGATGTTTAAATCGGATCAAGCAGACAGGCCGATAGCTTTAACTCAAGGTGCGCGCCGAGCATGGGCTCGGGTCAGGCGTCATCAGGTAGCAGGCTGGTCTGCTGAAAGAGTACAGTTTTGGGGCAGAGCCGTCGCAGGCTCCGGCTCTCTCAGGGCAGCCATACTGAGACAAACGAAGCTGGAGATAGGGGGCCTCCAACAGTTTCCCCGGGGCGAAGTGCTCTGGGATCTAGAAAAAACCTACGACGCGATAGACCCAGAGCAGCTCTGGCATGTAGGTGCGCAAGTGCAGCATCCTCTCACTCGCCTCTTCCTCGGCCTCAGCCTCCACTTCGGGGTTCGGAGGTGCCGAGCTGGAGGGGCCATGTGAGAGCCGCTGGAGGCCTTTTCTGGGATCCTAGCAGTCTGCTCTCAGATTGTCGACATGTCCCGACTCACCCCGCGGCAGATACTAGCAGATTTACACGAGAACTACAGACCGGTAGGCCAGTAGAAGTGCAGAGCTGGGTTGATGACTGTAGCCAGTTTGCTGTAGGCAGGGAGCCCATTGCCATCGAAAAAACAGTGGAAGAGCTTTTGCCAACCACTGCCAGGAATTCAGCCTTAGGATCTCTAGCAAGAGTGTCCTAGCCAGCAATCCACCGAGTGGCAAATGAAATTCAGCGCAGGCTTGGCTCTAGTATGCAGTTGAAGAGATCCCAATGTGTAAAAGACCTTGGGTTCGACGGCGCTTCCCACAGACGCCCCGTGGCAACGGCCGAGAAGAGGTTGGCCGATAGCACCAGTAGAGGTAACATAGTTCGTAGAGTTGTCAAGACCTCCAGAGCTGCGAAATCTTGAGTACACGCCGGCTTTATCCCACAGGGCGCACGGGGAATTGAGGCACAATGAGTAGCCCCATCCACGCTGCTACGGATGCGAGCGCAGATCTCGGGCATGGTTGGCCACGATGAAGGAGGATGCGCGACTACGACTATTCGGATGGCCTTCCCAACGGCACACCAGGGCCCGATGGTTTTTGGCAGGCTGCGTCTTTTCAATGAATGGATCGGACTTCTTCCAATGCCTCTGTCAACCCACCGCCAGGCTCTTCTCTTAGCCTGGAAAACAGCAGTTCGCATCTTTGAAGGGGCCAAAAGCCGATGGGCACAAGTCAAGGGGGCCCTGTCGGCCACGGCGGCCGCGCTCCCCGACCACGGGTGGAAACCTCTTTCACCGACCCTGTGGCAGGACCCCGACGGAGTGCAGTTCGATCTGGAAGAAGCTGACTCACATATGGTGTCAGAATATGTGTTGCACGGAGCCCTAGACCAACAGGCTTGGGAGCTAGCAGCGGCACCACATTTCGCAGGCAAAGGTCTCGAGCACGGCCCTGATCTTATAGTCAACGGGCAACGCATGGCAGCCTGGAAAAAAGAAGCGCAATACGACACAGTTGGTCTGTTCATAATGATTATGGCAGGGGCCTGCGAGTCGGCGCTTTGTAGAAGCTACCGGGCCCCCTCCAATCCCTCCAGCAACGGCCGCCGCCGCTGCGCGGGCGTCTGATCAGGCCCCCCTGGAGCCCTAGGCGCACGGTAGAGTCGGCGGTCTGGATGAGGAAGAGGAGGATTTTGATGTTTTGGACTTGGTCAGGCAAGCCCAGGAGGATGACCAGGGCCCTTGGGGCTCCCCTCCTGACAGTTTCCCAGAGGAGCTTCAGGAGGCCGCGGGGGTCTGCTCGCCGCGCAGGCCACCCTGGACCACACCAAAGTGCCCTCGGCGTGGAGCTCCGCAAGGGACCCTTCTCCGTCAGATTTGGGAGTGCCCAGGGAACCAAGGCCTGGAGGGCCTGCGCTTGGAGCTCTTGGAGAAGGTCCGTGAAGGCCAAGAAGAGTGGCTTTGTTTTTGGCTCAGGGGCATAGTGCCAGTGCTCTGGGCGCTGCCCCACGCCTCGCGCCCGACCCACAGCGCCAAGATCTCAGGAGGTGCCCTGGCAAGAGATGCCAAGATTCGTTTCACCAGCTCAATGATTGTTGCCACTGATGGTTCAGGTGGCAAGTACCGCGATGACTCCAGGCTCAGAAGATGTGGGTGTGGCTTTGTGGTGGTGGATGGGTGGGACCTGCTTGGGTGCGGGCAAGGGCCTTCGGAGTACTGGAAGCAGACAGTTCCAACCTCAGAGTTGACAGCTGCCGCAGAGGCGGTGAAAGCTACTGAAGGAGATTTAGTTTTGGTGATAGAGGCTCAGTCTGTGGTGGACGGCATAAGAGCTGGCCCACATGGACGGAACAGCACCAACAAGATGTTGTGGAAGAGATTTTGGGCCGACCTTGGTGATAGGCCCATCGTGGCCCACAAAATCAAGAGTCACCTTCCGGCTGAAGAGGCCGAAGCGAACCACGTGCCCCCACAGCATTGGTTCGCGAATCGTCTTGCAGATCAGGCAGCGGTGGAGGGCGCCCGTCAGGCCCAGCTTCCGGCCCAGGATATTGCCGCGATAGCGACCATCGACTTGAAAGCGACAAAGGTGCACGAGCACATGTTGGCGGTGGCCCCCGCGGTCACTAAGCAGGAACCGTCTCTCTACGGCGCGAGCTCGCGGCGAGACCGCGCGCAAGAGGCCAAGGCTCGGGCTGGGGAGAGGCAGGGGGCGGCTCAGCAGAGGATAGTAGATTCGGCCCACTCGGTGAAGCGAGACACCCGAAGTCGAATGCAGTGTACGGCGTGTTTCGCAAAGCCAGAGCAAGGAGCGATAGAGTCCTGGTTGTCCAGCCCGTGCATCAGGTATCCCGCCAATTTGCATAGGAATCATACCGTGTGGAGCTTCAAAGGAGTCTTTTGGTGGCGGGCCTGTGGTGGGTACGGCACCACTTCTTTCCAAAAGCTCGGTGTGCAGTGTAAGCTAGAGACCCTCACCAAATGCGCCAGGCGTCTCATTCATTCCCTGGAACAGGAGAAGCTGCAAGTGGGCGTCAAGGAATGGCCTCAGCCAGACGACCTGAGACCCCCCAGGCCCACTGTTTCTGTTTAGTGGCCAATGAGTCGCAGCGGTCCCTGTCAGAGGATGTGGCCGCCAACGTAGGTAAGAGGTCAGAGGAGGAGGAGGAGGAGGAGGAGGAGGAGGAGGAGGAGGAGGAGGACGAGGACGAGGAGGACGAGGAGGACGAGGAGGACGAGGAGGACGAGGAGGACGAGGAAGGGCGTGCCGGCACCTGTTTGCGATTGTTTGCGGTGCCGCGTTTGAGGCCAACGGGGTGTCCTTGGCGAGGCAGAGTTGCCTGCGCACGTACCATGGCCCGAAGGCTCGCAACGAGTCTTAGACGTCAGTCCCCTCCTCTGGGGGGAGGAGGGGGAGGAGGCAGGCGGAGGAGTGAGCGAGTTCCCCCGGGCAAGAGCCCAGGCAGGCCCTGGAGCTATCCGCCCCCCACATTTGATTTCCAAGTCGCTCAGCACCTAAATTTTCAGTGGTCGCGTCTAGGCGACGGCTGTGGGTAGCGGTGAAGGTATGCTTTCGGAACGTTCACCGCCACCCAGTTTTGGCCAGCGTGGACCCGAGCAGCGAGTTATTTCAATCCAGATGCGCAAGCTGTAAGCTGTGTGGTGCAAGCTCCGTGGTGCAAGCGATGCCGTGCAAGCTATGTGGTGTACGGTCGGGAACTTTGGTTCGCGTGTCGCTCCGCTGACTCTGGCCCACCACGCTCTGAAGCGACACGCTGCTCGCTTCCGAGTCAGGCGTCAGCGGCCCGAGTTCTCCCACGCCTCCCGCCGCGCGGAGCGGAGCGACACGCTGTCTGCTCGCGGGGCATGGCACGTCGCTGGGGCAGCCGCCGCGACACTCGAAGCAGAAGCTCCCGACCGTAGGCCCTGCGGTGCGAGCGCTGCGGCGCAGGCTGTGCGGCGCAGGCTGTGCGGGGGCGGCGACGAGGCGCCCGCGGGGCGGAGGCCTGGCAGCCGTCCACCGCGCGAGGGGGGCGGCCGCGAGGCGCCGGCAGCAGCGGGGCGAAGACTCGGCAGGCAGGTCCAGCTGTGCATCGCTGTGGCGAAGGTCCCCACCATGGGCACACTTGCAGATGTGGGTGTCATAACAGGTCGCTGAAACGCGGTATTTCTGGACGCCCAGATCCCGCTCTATTCGTGGCGCCCTCCTACTTCAAGGATCGACTGGCTTCCTCCTTCTCTCCTCTATAGGGGGCTGGCGGAAGCGCAATCTACTTCCAACGCCTTCCTGCTTCATGTTTCTACCTACTTCTTCCGACCGATGGGTACCGCGTTGTGGGCACCGCTTTCGGTGGAGCCCCATGTGGGGCCACGAAAGGCGAGAGGAGTGTCCTGTAATGGTTGGGGGGGCGGATGCGGCCGCGGCCGCTGGGGTCGTCGGTGGAGCTCCCTGTGTGCCCACGAAACGCTGTAATGGGCGGGGCGGGCGCGTGCGGCCGCGGAGCTCCCGATGGAGCCACGGAACGTTGTTTTCGGGTGGCGCGGCCGCATGCGGCCGTGGCCACTGGAACGTTCGGTGGAGCTCCCTACGGGGCCGCGAAGCGCTGTACTGGTCGGGGGAGTCGCATGCGGCCGCGGCCACTGGAGCGTTCCATGGAGCTCTCCCTGGGGCCACGAAGCGCTGTACTAGGTGGGGGGAGACGCATGCGACCGTCCCCTCTGGGGATGTCGTTGGAGCTCTCCCTGGGGCCACGAATCGTTGTACTGGGTGGCGCGGCCGCATGCGGCCGCGGCCACTTGGGCCTTCGGTGGAGCTCCCTGGGGGACCACGAAGCGCTGTATTGGGTGGCGCGGACGCATGCGGCCGCTGCCATTGGTGTCTTCGGTGGAGCTCTGTATTGGGGGGGGGGGTGATGAATTTTACTGGGTGTGGGAAGCGCTTGCGGCCGCTGCCATTGGCGCCTTCGGTGGAGCTCCTTTAGGGGGGGAGGCACGAAACATGTCACTGGGTGTGGGAGCTCCCTATGGGGCCACGAAGCGGGTGAAGGGTATGCCGAAACAAAGACACGCGGAGGGCGCACGGATGATAGGGAGCGGAGGGAGGAGGGGGTGAGGAAGGAGTGAGACGCAGGGCGTTGTTTCTTCAACACAAAGACCCATCACAACAGGATGGTTGGGAACAAAAATAGTGGTAAGGTAACCGTAGCCATTTTGGCTCAAGCCAGTCTGGCTCCAGAGGCTCGAGCGTTTTCTCTGGCCTGGGTCGGGCAGCCAGCCCGCGCCACCGCTCGCATGCCAGGCCAGCCGCTGCGCTCCGAGAGGCCAGCATGACCTGCCGCCGCCGCGACCGCCGCGGCGCGGCCGCGGCAACGCTTTGCGCAGCCCTGGGGGCCACGTGGCGCGGGCATCTGGCCCCAGCGGCCTTCGCCGGGCCGGCCGCGGCGCCCACCCCGGTGCGCGGGGCGCCGCTGCGGGATACGGCCGCCAGCCCCGGCCGCGAAGCGCCGGCTCCTGCAGCTGGACACCCCAGTAGCGTGGAGCGCCATATCGGCGTCAAGTGCATATGTTGGGACAAAGGCAGTGCGGCGTGGCGCATTAAGTATCAAATACAGAACGGCCCAGATCGAGGTTGCATCAAACAGACACGGTTCCGCCCGAAGGACGAGTCGCCGGAGCAGGTGGAGCAGGCGCGGCTCGCCGCCGTCGGGGAGGTGCGGCGGCTGGAGGACGAGGACCGGCTCGGGCGGATCCGCTCAGGTCGGCACAGTGCGGAGCGCCAGAGCGGCGTCAAGCACATACATTGGGACAAATGCAGTGCAGTGGCGCATTCAGTATACGATACAGAACGGCCCAGATCAAGGTCGCGGAAAGAGCCCGTGTTCCGACCGAAGGACGATTCGCCGGAGGAGGTGGAGCAGGCGCGGCTCGCCGCCGTCGAGGCGTTGCTGCGGCTGGAGGAGGAGGACCAGCTCGGGCAGGCCCGCGCTCGCAGCTACAGCCCCACAGAGCGCCAGAGCGGCGTCAAGCACATACGCTGGGACAACCGCAAGACGGCGTGGCGCATTAAGTACACGATACAGAACGGCCCAGATCAAGGTCGCAGAAAGCAGCCCGTGTTCCACGCGTATGACGATTCGCCACTGGAGGTGGAGTTGGCGCGGCTCGCCGCCGTCGAGGCGTTGCGGCGGCTGGAGGAGGAGGACCGGGTCGGTCGGATCAGCTCGGGCCGGCACCGTGCGGAGCGCCAGAGCGGCGTCAAGCACATACTGAGGGGCAAAGGCGGTGCGTTGCGGCGGCTGGAGGAGGAGGACCGGGTCGGTCGGATCAGCTCGGGCCGGCACCGTGCGGAGCGCCAGAGCGGCGTCAAGCACATAAGCTGGGACAAATGCAATGCGGTGTGGCGCATTCGGTATACGATGCAGAGCGGCCCGGATCAAGGTCGCAGAAAGCGGCCCGTGTTCCGACCGAAGGACGAGTCGCCGGAGGAGGTGGAGCAGGCGCGGCTCGCCGCAGTCGAGGCGCTGCGGCGGCTGGAGGACGAGGACCAGCTCGGGCAGGCCCGCGCTGGTCGGCACAGTGCGGAGCGCCAGAGCGCGCTGCGGAGGCTCCAGGAGGAGGACCGCGCGCTCGAGCGCAGCGGCTCGGGCCGACGGAGCGCGGGGCGCCAGAGCGGCGTCCAGCACGGGAGCTCCAAGACGACGAGCGGCGCAGACAGAGGCACCGGGAAGCAGCCCGCGTGCCGCCCGCAGGACGAGTCGCCGGAGGAGGCGGAGCGGGCGCCGCTCGCCGCCGCCGAGGCGCTGCGGGGGCTCCGGGAGGTGGACGGCGCCCTCGAGGCGAGCGCCTCGGGCGGGCCCTGAAGAGGAGTGGGAGGAGGAATGCCTCTGCCCCCTCGGCCCCCGTCCCGTCCCTCCCCCCCCTCGGACCGCCCGTGGAGGTCTCCCCCCCCCCCCGAAGCTGGCCCTTGGGCCCCGGCTCGGGTCCGGCGGTCGCCCGGGACGACCCGGGGGCCCCCGGAGCTTTCTCTCGGCGAGGCGCAGCCGGAGCCTCGAGACGGGGGTCGGGTCGGTGCAAACGGGGGTCAGCCGCATTTGGGGGAGCTGTGGCCCTTACCCCCCTGGGGGACCCATCGATCTCGAGGCACCCCTCTCGAGAGATGGTCGATGCGATGGGTTCCCCCTGGGCCCGGGGGTAAGGACCACAGCTCCCCCAGTTCTGGCTGGTCGGCGGGGGTCAGCCAGGGCGCCAGATCTTGCAGGATCCTGCAGAGCTGCAGGGTCGCATCGACCCGGGCGTGGGTGCAGGGTCCTGCAGGGTCCTGCGGGATGCCGCAGAGCCAGGGTCGCACTGACCCGGTCTCGGGTGCAGGGTCCTGCAGGATCGTGCAAGGCCTGACTGACCCGGGTCTGGATTGACCCGGGTCAGCAGATCCCCGAGCGCAACTGTTTGAAAACGATCCGAGGCAAGGAAGCAGCCGAGAACCGACGAAAATGTCCAGAAATCTTGAACCGTGAACCTCGAGAACCTGCAACCTCGATGCCCGTGGACCAGAGATCAGTCTCAACGGTGACTTGGCGATTTCGTGGCCCGTTCTGATTTCCTTTTGTGCAGAAGCGGCGAGACGAAGGCAGAACGCGGGAAAACGACAAAACAACGACAACAACTAACAACTGTTTTGCGACGGTAGGTTCGCATCGTGTCAACCAGCGGCGACCCCGCCGCCGGCCACCCATATTCGGTCGATGTTGAACGATCTAACGTTTCGGAAACGCCCGATCGTTCAAGGTTGAACGATCCAGCGCCGTGTCAGAAACCAGCGCTGGAATCGACATGACACGAATCTGCTGTAGATCCTTGCTGTTTGGGGAACGAAGAATGACGTAAGCATGAAAACTCGGAGATCCGCGCGGACCTCCGAGTTTTCATGTTTACGTCATTCTTCGTTCCCTTAGAAGCGCTCGATGGCCTCGCAGATGGCCTTTGGGCGGCCGGGGGACGCCGTGTGCAGGACGAAGGCCAGGAGGCGAGTTTCTATCCTGTTTATGCCATTCTGCGCTCCCCTAGCTGTAAGTCGGGCCTGTCCCTCTACACGGGGAATATTCCAAAATAGTCACACAATAGTCCGGGGACTATGGTTTGACCATTCTTGAGCATGTGGGGGGGTATTTTTTGATTTTTTTTTTCGCATTTTTCGCCCAAAATCGCCCTGTAGGGGGACACGCCCGACTTGACCCTTCGCTGTGGCCCCCCCCCGCGTCCGGTCGAGACCCTCCCCCCGGCGCGCACACAAGCTTGAATGAGGCATACTGCAGCTTCATGACAGTGCACATCTGTGAACATGCCTCCTTTCTTTTCCTCCTCTCCCTCTCTCCTCCCTGCAAGTCTTCTCTCTTCTGCCTCTGCCTCCTCTTCTGCCGGCGCGCAGGCCTCTGCGCCGCCGGCGCCTGGGGCCTGGCGCGCGCCGCGGCCTTCGCTGCCGCTCCCCCGAAGGCCCCAAAGGGGCGGGGCGGCCCCGAGACGGTTCGGCGTCGGGGGGGGGGTCCGCCGATCTGCGGCGAGGTCTGGGGCCTCTCCAGCAGGAGGAATGTTCTCCCTCCCTCCCTCCCTCCCTCCCTCCCTCCCTCCCCCCTCCTCCCTCCTCCCCCCTCCACAATTACTCAATATGAATATACTCTCCCTCTTCCCCTGATGGCGTCCGGGTGATAGCCGCGCACCCTCCGCGTACTGTTTTTTTACACAGGATGCCCGGAAAATCCCGGGAAACGACTCTCGCTGAGGCGCCGGCGTCATTTTTCCCCAAAATGCTGCTCTCGTTGAGGCGCCGGCCTCATTTCTGCTCCCGAATCGTTCCGAATCGTGCTCCCGCTGCAGCGTGGGCCTCATTTTCGGATCGGTGTTTGGCCTCCGTCGTTCAGGATGGCGTTCTCGCCCCAGCGCGGGCCTTTTTCTCGCGCGCCCATCCGCCCGCCACCACCGCGCCGCACTCACCACCACCACCACCACCACAACCACCACCACCCACCACAACCACCACCACCACCAGCACCAGTACCACCCACCCACCACCAGCACCAACCACCAACCACCAAGACAACCACCACCACCATCATCACCACCCCACCACCCAACCACCAACACCACCCACCACATCACCACCACCACCACCACCACCACTACCACCACCACCACCACCACCACCACCACCACCACCACCACCACCACCACCACCACCACCACCACCACCACCACCACCACCACCACCACCACCACCACCACCACCACCACCACCACCACGACAACCACGCACACACGCACGCATTGAGTGGTTCCGCGCTTCGGTGCTAAATCGACCCTCGGGAACCAGCCCGTGTAATGCCCCCCAAGAATGCCAAGAATACGAAAAATTATCGCACCATAAATTCAGCGTTGGGATTGAAATTCAATTATTGGTTCCGCGCCTCCAACAATTAATTACCAAATATTATTTTTCCTAACCAAATATTGTTTCAGCAACCTGGTCTTTCCAGCGCACGCGGAAGCAATCTCGCGCCTTAAGCTGGCAAACGAGTATTTTCCCAACGATTGTTTTTGCCTCACCTGTTAGAGGCTGGGGCGGGATACCTACGCAACGGGGAAGGGGTGGGAGGCAGGGGGGGGGGGCCGTGGGATAGCACGCCGCGATCGCTTCTAGCCCCCCACCACCACCACCTCCCCCCTCACCCCTCCCCACCCCCCACTCCTCCTCCTCGTCCTCTGCTCGTCCTCCTCCCCCTCTGCCCCTCCTCCTGCTGCTCCTGCCCCCCCCCCCCATACCCCCGCCCCCCCGCCCCCTTGCCCCTCCGCCCTCCTCAATCACCCACCTTCTCAACCTCCGCGTCCCCCCTCGCCCCCTTGCCCCCCTTCCCCTGCTGCGGTTCCTCCTCCTCCTCCTCCTCCTCGCGCCCCTCCCTCCCCGCTCTGTCTCCCTTCCCCTCCCCCCCCCTCCCCCTGCATCACCCCTTGCTCGCCCCCCTCCTCCCCCTCCGCCCTCCTCCTCCTCCTGACTCCTCCTCCTCCTCCTCCTCCTCCTCCTCCTCCTCCTCCTCCTCCTCCTCCTCCCTCTCCTCCCCCTACTCCTCCCACCCTTCCTCCGCCTCCTCCTCCGCCTCCCCCCCCACTTCCTCTGCCCACATCCCACCGTCCACCTCCCGCCCCCACCACCTCCGCCTCATCCTCCTGCTCCTCTTCCTCCAGGGTGGTATGCCCCAGGGCGGTGTCGCAGGTTGTCGTCGTGATGTAGTGCGTTTGTCGCGTAGCAAGTCGGATGTTGGGGGTTGTCGTTGGTGGTCGTTTGGGCTGACGTTTGTCGAAGGTTGTCTACGTTGGTCTTAGGTCCGCGGTCGTCGCTCGTCATCCCGCTCGCCCCCTCCGCTCGCGCATCGCCGACTGCGTCGCCGCGGTTGCCACCATCACGGTGGCGGCCGCGTTGTCGGCCCGAGATGTCCATTTTGGACATCGCCCTGGCTGGCGGGGGCGCGCCTCAGTTGGGGGGGGTCCTCCCGCCAGCGCTGGCGCCCCCAGCGTATGGCGGCGCCCGCGCGCTAGCCGAGGAGGACGCCGTCCTAGCGGCCTTCTCGGCGGTGCCCGCCCGCGGCACGCGCCCAGGCTGCCGGAAGGCGGCGCCAGGGCGCCGCAACCTGCGCCGGCCCCCGCCGCGCAGCGCGCTCGAGCGCGGCTACGACGGCCTGGCCGCCAGCCACGACGCCAGGCGTCTGGGAGGGGTCGGCAAGTCAGGGGCGAGGGCGGACGGTAGAGCGGGCCCGCCTCCTCCTTCTCCCCCGTCCTCCTCCTTCTCCCCCCTCCTCCTCCTCCTCCTCCTCCTCCTCCTCCTCCTCCTCCTCCTCCTCCCGCCGCCTCCTCCTCCTCCTCCTCCTCCTCCTCCTCCTGCTCCTCCTCCTCCTGCTCCTCCTCCTCTTGCTCCCCCCCCGAGTTTCGACGCCCCAGGCAGCTCCGCGTTGGGGACCTCGCGGTGCCCAGGGGCAGGCTGGGCTTGGTGCGGCGCAGCAGCTTCTTCGCGAAGAAGCTGCACCGCCTGCGCCAGGGCCACCGCCGCTACAAGTGGGAGTGGGACGCCGCCCTGTGCCAGGCGGCGGCCTACAGGAGCTTACTCCACGGAGGCCGCCCCCGGCAGGGCAAGGTGGATTTGGGACCAACGCGCAAACGCCAGACGACGCCCTGGCCCCATCCCTGCTTTTCCTGCGCCTCTTTCTCGTCCTTCTGCTCCTCCTGCGTGTCCTCCTGCCCCTCCTGCGCTTCGTGCTCTCTTTCCTTCGCGTGCTCTGTGCACCCCGTCCTGCTTCTCTCACTTCGCCAGCTCGTCCTCCACCCTCCATTTCATTTCTTTCTCATTCCCTCCTGCCCCCGCTGCTCGCGCCGCGACCGCCCCCCCCCCCCCGCCCATTCGCCCTCGCGGTGCCCTCCTCCCCCTGCTCCTCCTCCGACCCCTGGCCCTCCTGACCCCCCCCCCCTTCTTCCCCCCGCCCCGCGCCGCTCTGCGTCTCCCCGCTCAGCCCAGGTGGCCATGGGCAAGACCAGTCGCTCGCTCGAGCTCTGCTCCGCGGTGGCCCGGGTCACCCAGCGCGCGCTGGGCGCCGAGGTTAAGGCATTCGTCCAGGAGTTTTGGGATGGGTGGCCACGCGCCGAAGGGAGAGGGAGGAGGAGAGCTGACGCAGGAGGGGGTGGATGAGGAGGGGGAGGAGCGGCAAGGGGACGGTGATGAGGGGGCGGCGGCAGGGACAGAGGAGGAGGAGGAGGAGGAGGAGGAGGAGGAGGCCAGACTGCTCCACCGCCGCCCTCCCCGCCCGCCCCCCCCCCCCCCCCCCCCTCGCTCTCTCCTCAAG